ACTGACCCCTTGTTCTTGTTGTTGTTGTTTACACACCACACGATTACTGTCGACGAGGCACTGCGGCCCAATGCCGTCACGTCCACGTCCCGCTGGATTGCCCGTCAACTTTAGTGTTTTACACGAAGCGCAGGTGGACGGACACCTCAAATCAAGGGGTGTACAGAGACGGACCAGGGGATTTGGGTCAGAACACAGCTGGGACATGACGGCAGGTAGAGAACACGGGGAGACAAGACGACAAGCCGACAGAACACACAGGGAACAGAGCACAGCGGATACAGGACACAGAGGGTGGGGGGGGGGCACAACACAGAACACAACACAGACCACAACACAGCACACAGAGGGGACGAGACACAGGACACGGGGGGTGGGGGGGGGGCAGAACACAACACAGAACACAACACAGAACACAACACAGAACACAACACAGAACACAACACAGAACACAACACAGACACCATAGACCAGAACACAACACAGAACACAGAGGGGACGAGACACAGGACACGGGGGGGGGGGGGGTCAGAGGGTAACAGCACAAAGAGGGAACCCAGAGCACAGGCGGACGGGGGACACAGGGAGAACAGCACACACAGAGGGGACGAGACAAAGGGGAACACAGAAGGAGAGCGAACTGAGGGAACAGGGCACTGGGGGTGGGGTGAGGGTGGTGGTGGTGACAGTCGACAGAGAGAGAGAGAGAGGAAGAGAAGTGGGGACCTGCTTAGGCACCAGCTGGTTCTCCTCGCCCAGAGACATGGCTCCTCGGTGGCTCGCTGCTGGCTGCCTGGCTCGCTGCTGGTGCTGTCGGCTGCGTAGCGGTCGAGGGAGCAGTCGAGGGAGCAGCGTCCACAGCTGATCGCCGCCTACTCCTCCTCCTCCTCAGGGCCACATCGCGGATGCCTCTGCCCCCCGCCACAAGCCGCCAAGATGGAGGAGCGGATCTCGCGAGACTTAGAGGGGGGGAGGGGGAAACCCGCGAGAGTTCCGCGCCTCGCGTCACTGCCCACCCCCCTCCCCACGCCCACCCCCCTCACCACTCCCCACGCCCATCCCACTCACCCCTCCCCCACCCCCCTCACCCCTCCCCCACCCCCACCCCCCTCACCCCTCCCCCACCCCCCTCACCCCTCCCCCACCCCCCTCACCCCTCCCCCACCCCCCTCACCCCTCCCCACGCCCATCCCACTCACCCCTCCCCCACCCCCCTCACCCCTCCCCCACCTCCCTCACCCCTCCCCACGCCCATCCCCCTCACCCCTCCCCCACCCCCCTCACCCCTCCCCCACCCCCCTCACCCCTCCCCCACCCCCCTCACCCCTCCCCCACCCCCCTCACCCCTCCCCACGCCCATCCCACTCACCCCTCCCCCACCCCCTCACCCCTCCCCCACCCCCCTCACCCCTCCCCCACCCCCTCACCCCTCCCCACGCCCATCCCACTCACCCTCCCCCACCCCCCTCACCCCTCCCCCACCTCCCTCACCCCTCCCCACGCCCATCCCCCTCACCCCTCCCCCACCCCCCTCACCCCTCCCCCACCCCCCTCACCCCTCCCCCACCCCCCTCACCCCTCCCCCACCCCCCTCACCCCTCCCCACGCCCATCCCACTCACCCCTCCCCCACCCCCCTCACCCCTCCCCACCCCCCTCACCCCTCCCCACCCCCCTCACCCCTCCCCACGCCCATCCCACTCACCCCTCCCCCACCCCCCTCACCCCTCCCCCACCTCCCTCACCCCTCCCCACGCCCATCCCCCTCACCCCTCCCCCACCCCCCTCACCCCGCCCCCACCCCCCTCACCCCTCCCCCACCCCCTCCACCCCTCCCCACGCCCATCCCACTCACCCCTCCCCCACCCCCCTCACCCCTCCCCCACCCCCCTCACCCCTCCCCCACCCCCCTCACCCCTCCCCACGCCCATCCCACTCACCCCTCCCCCACCCCCCTCACCCCTCCCCCACCTCCCTCACCCCTCCCCCACCTCCCTCACCCCTCCCCACGCCCATCCCCCTCACCCCTCCCCCACCCCCCTCACCCCTCCCCCACCCCCCTCACCCCTCCCCCACCCCCCTCACCCCTCCCCACGCCCATCCCACTCACCCCTCCCCCACCCCCCTCACCCCTCCCCACGCCCATCCCACTCACCCCTCCCCCACCCCCCTCACCCCTCCCCACGCCCACCCCCCTCACCCCTCCCCCACCCCCCTCACCCCTCCCCACGCCCATCCCACTCACCCCTCCCCCACCCCCCTCACCCATCCCCACGCCCACCCCCCTCACCCCTCCCCCACCCCCCTCACCCCTCCCCACGCCCATCCCACTCACCCCTCCCCCACCCCCCTCACCCCTCCCCACCCCCCTCACCCCTCCCCCCTCACCCCTCCCCACGCCCCTCACGCCCCTGACCCCTCCCCCACGCCCACCCCCCTCACCCCTCCCCCACCCCCCTCACCCCTCCCCACGCCCACCCCACTCACCCCTCCCCCACCCCCCTCACCCCTCCCCACGCCCACCCCCCTCACCCCTCCCCCACCCCCCTCACCCCTCCCCCACCCCCCTCACCCCTCCCCACGCCCATCCCACTCACCCCTCCCCCACCCCCCTCACCCCTCCCCCCTCACCCCTCCCCACGCCCCTCACGCCCCTGACCCCTCCCCCACGCCCACCCCCCTCACCCCTCCCCACGCGCAACGCGACACCACGCGCGGCTGGCGTCATGACGTCATCGCGTAGGAACTCGGCGTTGACGTCACGCGTCGTGGTTGTATCCCGAGTGTGCGTGGTGACGTCATTTATTTATACTGCAGGAATTCGACGAGCTATGAAGCTCTTTGTTTTTTCACAGACGTCCAGTGCTGTAGATGCGAGCACTTGTATCGGGACGTCACCACGCCAACACCCCCTCCCGTCAATGTCATTACGTAAATTACGTCAAGTGCTAATCGTCTGAATACGTTCCAGACGTCATCGCGTGCAATGTCCTGTCCATTGCGTCTGGGCTTGCCGAACGAGTTCATCGCGTCGCCCGTCAGCGTCTACGTAAGTTCGAAAGTTTAGTGCGTCGTGACGTCAGAACGTCATTTTTGTAGTGACGTCATTTTTGCAGTGACGTCATTTTCGTTTCGATCGACGTTGGGGTTTCTTTTTTTTTTTGGCGGGGAAATATATAATAAATACAAATTTTTAAACACAGAGTTTTATACAACGCCGAATTGTCACGATTACACAGAAATGGTATAAGGCCGAGGATTGTGTGTGACTGCGGGCGAACGGAGGACAACTCGCTGGCACTGTGCAGACACTCCTCTACTTACGAACTATTTAGGTTCCAGAGGGACTGTTCGTAAGTCGATTTGTTCGTAAGTAGAAACTTTTCTCCGGTCGATTCCAAACACGATGTACGCTAAACACGGGGAATGGCTTTAACAGTTGTACAATCTCCTGTAAGGTGTAGATGCCACTGGTTCTTCACGTTCTGCAGACGCCACTGGTTCTTCACGTTCTGCAGATGTAGATGCCACTGGTTCTTCACGTTCTGCAGATGTAAATGCCACTGGTTCTTCACGTTCTGCAGATGTAGATGCCACTGGTTCTTCACGTTCTGCAGATGTAGTTTCGCCGCAGCGTGGAGACGGCAGCTCCGCTACGCAGAAGGGCCATTGCCCGAAACGTCGACTACTATGTATTATTTTCCTTGAGTGTGTTATTGACTAATGTGTTTGTTAATTGTGTAACGTCAAGACTGACAGTCGTGTATGTTTGAACCTAAATGGTTACGTAACAATAAAACACACGACTGCTCCAACAATTGGAACAATCGGCGACGTCCTTGCACTCTTACAGAAGCTTCCTGTTGATCAAACTTGATTTGAAGCTTCCTAT